CTCCCTGCTTGTGCCCTGGGAAAGCAGCTGAGGACAGCCCAAAACCTTGGGACCCTGTACCCATGTGGAAGACCCAGGAGAGGTTCCTGGCTTCTGGCTTCAGATCAGTGCAGCTTGGGCTGTTGCAGCCACTTGGAGAGTGAACAACAGACAGAAGATCTTTTCTCCGTCTTTCCTCCTCTCTGTGTGTCTGACTTTCCAGTGAAAATAAAATGAATCTTTAAAAAATATTTTAAAAAATTAAAAATTAGGTATTAGGTGTCCAGTAAAATTAACACAAAAACAAACAAAACCAATGAATATATGATCCATCATCCAACCAAAAGCTAAAGCAATGATCCAATCACCTTTCGAGGTGAAGGAAGATGAAAACGGTCTTTATGACGAATCCTCCTCTGTAATGATTTCCTTGCAACGTCCCCGACACATGCAAGATCACTCCTGCTTCTATGTCTTTGCTGAAGTTCCTCCCATCCAAAATTCCTTTCCCTAACACCGTGCCCTTTTTGAAAACTTGTAAGGTCTACTTCAAAGGACATGGCAGCTAAGAAACTGTCCTATCCGAAACCTGCAGTTCATGCAGAATTTTTTCATTTGCTCTAGTTCTAAGGGACAATTTATTTTCTTTTAAAGGTGTATTTCTTGGGGCCCGGCGCGGTGGCGCAAGTGGTTAAGGTCCTCGCCTTGCACTCCCGGGATCCCATATGGGCGCCGGTTCTATCCCGGTAGCCCCACTTCCCTTCCAGCTCCCTGCCTGTGGCCTGGGAAAGCAGTCGAGGACGGCCCAAGGCTTTGGGACCCTGCACCCGCGTGGGAGACCCGGAAGAGGCTCCTGGATTCGGATTGGCATAGCATAGGCCATTGCACTCACTTGGGGAGTGAATCATCGGACGGAAGATCTTCCTCTCTGTCTCTCCTCTCTGTATATCCGCCTTTCCAATAAAAAAAATAATAAAAATAAATCTTTAAAAAAAAAGTGTATTTCTTTGTATTTGAAAGGCAGATTCACAGAGCATAGAAGAGACAGAGAAAGATTCTCCATCCGCTGGTCCACTCCTCACGGGGCCACAACGGTTACAGCTGAGCTGATCCAGGGCCAAGAGCCTCCTTTGATTCTCCCGTGTGCGCGCAAGGGCCCAAGGACTTGGGCTGTCCTCTGCGGCTTTCCCAGGCCACTAACAGGGAGCTAGAACAGAAGAGTAGCAGCCAGGATGAGTACCCATATGGGATGCTGATGTTGCAGCTGGAAGATTAGGTTGCAATGCCACCGTCCCAGCACCGACGATTCAATTAACACTGTCACCTTTTTTCAATTTCTGGCATTTGATCATTTTCATTCCTACTGCCAACCTAGTCTATGCCCTTATAAAAATACATTCTAGAGGAACGAGCCAGCAGATGGAAGGTTTCTCTCTCTCTCTCTCTTTGTAACTCAGTCATTCAAATAAAAAAAATATACATTCTATATAAGCTGCTAGTATGCCTTGGAATAGCTCAGTAGTTATGAAATCGGGCTTATGGCTCCTAGAGGTAAAAGTCAAAACACCTAGGTTCAAATTCCAGCTCTTCCATTTATTAAGTTATAGGAACTTGGGGAGTTAAAGTAAGCTAACCTCTCCATGTTTCAATTTCCTCAGAGGTTGATGTGGAAAAAAAAAATAAGCACCTACCTCAAAAGAAAAAAAAGTTAAAATAGAGAGTATATAGAACAGGGCAAGCATGCTACATAGAATATACACAAGTGTTAGTTAAGCTGCTGGCCATTTTTCCTCCCCCAGGCCACTGGATACACTATTGTCATGCCACTTTTTCTTAAAGAATGGTTTTGTTATATTAGCGTTCTGTTCAGAACTCTCCTTGGCCCTCCATAACCTAAGGGTCCATGTCTGCAGCTTGGCACTGCACAACTTGGCACCATACTACCTATTCAGCTTGATTTACTTGACACCTTGTATATACAAAATAGCAGGAAATACACACAGTCATTCTCCTCCAGATCTGACAACTACACAGAGGGGGCACAAACATAAAAAGTCACAAAAATGGTTGCCCACCATTTTCCAAAAGATCTCCTCAATCCAACAAAATCAGTGTTCTTGGCATTGGAAAAATGCTAAACCCATTCAAAATTATCTGCTTGCTTGCTTTATTGCATTTTCAATACTCAAGCCAATGTATATGCCCCAATTTTAAAGTCTAATTCAAACACCAGTATCCTTATATCCTTTAAACTCGAATCATCTTATCTGAATCAGCTTTTCCAAATGTATAACCACCTTCACTACCCAGTACATTAGTTCCTAGAAAGAAGGAATAATTACATCCAGCTCTTGCTACTTCCTTCCCTCCTCACCACAAGGACTTTCACAGAAAAAGATCACTATGATAGAAAAACACACTCAAAAAAAACACACAGTGAGTTCAAAGAAAAGACTGGAAGTAGACAACTACTACTAAGTGAAGTACAATAAGGCTCTGTGGTAAACTACTGTGCCAACCACGAGTCTGTCAATAGTCCCCAAAACCTTCTATCAAACAGGGTCATGCAATTAAAAAGTAACAATCTATTCACTATCCCTTCTATATAACCACCATCTAGGTAGCTTTATTTGTTCAGTGCTACTTTGAATCAACATGATTAAACATTCTACTGTCTGTTACTTAATTTGAAGTTGGCCTTCAAGGGCCAGCTTTCAAGCAGGGCAATAACTCAACTGCTAAATGCTTGGGAGGCTGACTGGGAAAGACATCACTTGGAGGCAAACCTGCAGGTTTAAGTAAAATAAGATATTCCATGAATTTAGCATGAGAAAGTGTCAATAGGGGACAGTGCTACGACACAGGTTAGGTTGCTGTATGGAATGTTGGCACCCCAAAGGGTCACCAGTTCAAGCCCTAGTTGCTCCCCTTCCAATCCTACTCCCTGCTAATGCACCTAAAAAAGCAGTGGAAGATGGTCCAAAACCTTGGACCTAGATGGAGTTCCTGGCCTCCGGCTTGAGCACGACCCATCAAGTGAACCAGCAGATGGAACATCTCATTCTATCTATGTTCACTCTCTGTGACCCTGTCTTTCAAATAAATAAATAAATCTTGAAAAAAAAAAAAAAGGACAAGTCCTTACAAATAAATAAACACATAAAAAATAAAGGGATAGCCTCATATCCAGAGTTTTACTTTATCCAATACAGTGAGGGAGCAAGGCAGAATGGCAGAAATAAGCCCAATCTACCCTTCAAAGCTAAGGCTTCCTAAGTAACAAGTTCCACTCACAGTTTTAACATGTCATCCAATTCCAAGCTAAACATTCCCTATTGATCTACTCTTAGTCATTGCAAAACCAGCCCACTGTGAGGACATTATTACAGCACCTTTCATGTAAACACTACTTTTCAAAGGTTTTTTTTTTTTTTTTTTAAAAAAAGGAGTCTCCTTTGAGTTCTGAAGGAAAATAAGTGAATTGATGGCGTATGCACATACATTCTGAGAGCAAACCAGAGCCAAGCCCTTATCTAACTATGTAGAACCCAACTGGTTGCTGAGGCAGTGGGGGAAGGGGAACAGCGAGCAAAGAAAGTAAAAGGTGGTTAAGGTAGCAGTGGCTGGAACCAATGTGCAAATTCAAAGGCCAGAATGGTGAATTCTATGAATGACTGTTTTAGAAGAGTGTGTGTATTTTGTGCAGTCTTTGAGGCACCTAAACTTCAGCTTCTAGGGACCAAAAAAAAAAGTCTACTCCATAGGTAAATAGACACCTGGTATCATCTGGTATTACAGAGAAAAATGAACACACTTTCCAGTTCTGGCCCCACACACAGAGTAGGTTATGGGGATTATGCAAGCACACAGCACTTAGGCAATCCTTCCCTCCTTTCCTTAGAAAATAATTTATATAATAACTCCTTAATTCAGTAGCTACAGGAGCAGCACTGTTCGCTCCTCCTTGCGAGGCTTGGCTTTCCTTCGCTGCAAAGCACTGAATCCTGAAAAAATTCAAATTGTTCTTTTAAGGAAGACTTAATCATTTATCTCAGAAAAGGGCAAAAAGTCAGGCAGTGAAATGTGAGCTATTCCTATTAAGTCTTACATAACTTAAAGTTGAAACGAATTCAGTAGTTCAATTAAAACCTGAGGCTGGAGCACAAAGATGAGCTCTCTGAGTACAGTCCTCACACACAGTTTTTAAAACTTGAAGGGTTTAGTATTTTCTTAATACAGAAGCACAGATCTGTATAGTCAGTTGGGATATCAACAGAAAAATGCTGAAATTGTTATACTCGAAAGAAGTATCCCCTTTGGAGAAGGGGGTAATTAACAGAAGTGTAGTTTCCTAACACTAACTTCTAAAATGTCATCTCTGTAAGGGATGACACCAAGAAGTAATTTCCAAAAGCAATACATATATGTCAGCTATCCACTGTCACCTGTAAACAAGACTGAAAATGTAAAACCACAGATGCTCATGCTTTATTCAACTGACTGCCAATTACTCCTTCCAGGGTGAACACCTAGCAAAACTTCTCAACAGCATGAGTTCCACACGAGCATCTGCCCTTACTGGAACAGGCCCTGATCTCAACTCGACTCACAGTCCAACCCCCCAGATAACCTGAACCCTGTTGAAAAATCGGCCATGGATGCCCTGCTTGGCTTCCCGCATTGAATCCACCTTTCTAAAAAGCCTGAAAGCGAGTCTCCAAGCCCGGCTATCTAGTTTTCTCCCACCAAATTAGGGTTTGTGGTTTCACTGGGAATGATCAGCACTATCAGGCTGCCCATCGCCCTCTGAGGCATTTGGTTACAATACCTTCTGTTTTCCATTCAACCACCTCACTGCCATTTCCCCCAGAACCAGAGCTGCCTCCCAGGCTCTGCGCAGTGTTCTCTCGGAGGGTGCAAACCCTGGGATCCTGCATCACAGCACCTCCTGAGAGACGGGCAAAGGCAAGGCAGGTAGAACACGCAAACACGCGGCGCCAAGACAACGTGGGTGACATTACCTTGCCGGTCTTGTGATCGAACCAGACGAGAGCATGGTTCCTTGATAGCACTTTGCAGTCAAAGGTGGCATTATTCTGCGCCGGCCGGCAGCGGGCCACCGAGCGGCCGATTTTGATGGGCTCGTCCAGGTAGACATGACGCTCCTGAAACGGGTGCGAGTTCGGGCGGCAGGTGAAGATGGCCAAAGCTGACGGCATCGAGGACAGCCTGGGGGTGCCTCTCCTACCAGGGACAACGAGGAGTTCCTCCAGATCTGCACTGTCCTTCACCAACGTAGACTCCCCCTGCCTATGCCCCACCTTCCCACCCCCCCAAAAAATTTTTTTGCCAATTATAACAAACTGCGCATCGTCTAAGAGTAACCAGGGCACATCAGCAGCTCTCGACTGGGGTGGGAAGATGGCCCATCGCTTCCTTGCACATCCAGCAGCGCCCCAATCGCATACAGTCCCCCGCTGGCAGCAGCCTCTCTCAGTCCATCTTCCCTGGGAAGGAAAGGCTCACACATCGGGCAGCTTCGGCCAACACAACTCCTGGAAGACACTTCGGGGGGCAGACAGCGATTCCTGGGCAGTGCTGGCGATCGCGCGACCGCAGTCCCCTCTCGCTGGCGGAAACGGTGCAGCACTGCAGCATGAACGAAGGGGTCCGTCCGGGGACTGTCGGCTGCAAGGTCCTCAGGGGGCTCGAAGGGCAGCCGCCGCCCGTCCGCAGGGGCCCTGGGTGGCGACGAGACGCGACGAGCAGAGGCCAGCGAGGAGCTCTAGGCGGTCAGCGGGACAGTCCGCATCGCCCCTGCTGTGCACACCCGGGGGTCCCCAAGCCCCTTGCACGGGATGAACCGGCGGTGGCTGGGGTCTCCCGCGCGCGAGGCGTGGGTGCAGGCAGCGGCCAAAGCCGGAGTCCCCCGGCACCTGGCGGGCGTCTCCGCGACCAGGGCGGGACCCGCTCCGCAGGCAGGCCGGTGCGGACCGGAGCGAGGCCGGCGGGAAGTTGGCCCCCTGGACGCCCGGGCTCCCGGCGGGGGCTGCTCAGCACACGGGCCGACTCCCTTTCAGGGGCGTCCCCGCGAGGGTCGCATCTCAGGGACGGGCAGCCCCGGCTCTAAGCGGACGGACGGGGAGGTGGGGGAGGGAGGCTGGCCCGGAGGTTGAGGGAGAGGCCTGGAGGCCCCGGGGCTGAGTCCGCCGCAGCCTCCACTCGTCGCGGCCAGCGGGGCAAGGCTCAGGCTGTGCCCGAAGAGGCAGGAAACTTTCCGACCTGCGGGGGGAAAAACATCAAAACAAACGGCCGTCAGGCGCCGGTGCCCGCCCGGCTCAGCCCTCGCCCCGCTCAGCCAGCCCCCTTAGCCAGCCTCCACCGCTGCCCACGACCTCCCGGCCGACCTCGCCGCAGGCTCACTGCCGGGATCGGAGCCGGGACGCCACGACGACTCCTGCCTCCCCAGCCACCGATGCCGCCGCGGTCTCAGCTTACCTTGCCAGCGCCCGCCGCCATAGTGACTCTGACTGAAACCTACCCGGTGCACAACCACGGGAACGCGCACCCTTCAAGGGCCCTCCTACCCCTTCTCCCGCGCCGTAGCTTGGGGATGTCACGTGGCAGACGCCATGGAAGCCATGTTTGTCGAGGGCAGCAAGCAGGGCAAGCTGGCTTTTAATGAATCCTCCGGGAGCCATGTTAGTTAAGGGCAAGAAACTTCAAATCCCCGGATAGCCTGTACGACCATTTTGGTTAAGGGCAAGAAAGAATTTGAGCTGTTGAAAGTTTCAGAAGCAAATCGTACTAACTGCCCACTTTTCCTTCTTTCAGTCGAGTACCAGATTTGGCGAAATTTTATTCACTGTAGCTCTTTTTGAAAGCAGCCACGAGTAAAGGAAACAGATCCGAGTGCTAGAGATAGTCCTTAGAAGCCATCTTAGCTCTGGGCACACAGTCACCCTCTGCCGCTTGGGGGAAAGCCACCAAACTCCCACAAGTCTCAGGATTTGCGCCTTAGGTATGACAAGAACCATCCTTCACTCGTAAATTCTTCGCTGTGTTTCCTGAAAGGAGAAAAACTTCCTTGGTGCCTGCATTCCGACTTGAATAACCGTCCTCCAACATGGAATTAGAGGGAATGAGACTTCAGAAAATTTAGAATCACTTTGCTTCCAGAAAGAGGTCGGACAAGTTCCAGTAGGAAAAACAGAATGTTGCCTCCCCTCAAAAATCTTAAAACATGAGGAGTTATTGGCCTAAAGAAAACAAGACTTTAAAAAAAAAAAAAGAAGAAGAAGAAGGCAAGACTTGGACCCGGCGTGGTAACCTAGCACCCAAAGTCCTTGCCTTGCACAGCTGGGATTCCATATGGGCGCTGGTTCTAATCCTGGCTGACCTGCTTCCCATCCAGCTCCCTGCATAGGGAGACTGGGAAAGGCTCCTGGCTCCTGGCTTTGGATCACCTCAGTTCCGGCTATTGTGGCCAGTTGGGGAGTGAATCGATGGACAGAAGATCTTCCCCTCTGTCTCTCCTCCGCTCTGTATATCTGACTTCCCAATAAAAATAAGTAAATCTTTAAAAAAAAGAAGAAGACAAAGCTTTTCCAGAGCTAACCAAAACTTCAGGGAAAGATCTCACTAGAAGTCGTTTAGCACAAGGGAGGCCTCATTCTTCAGATTCCTGTGACAAAATTCCTCCACCATGACCTTGGGCAAGTTTCTAAACTTTTTCAAATGTCTTTCTCACCCACAACGTGGATATAGGATCGTTAATGCACTTGTTGTAGCGAGACTTCAAGGTGATGCCAGGTGTCAAGTGCATGTTGTGCAATGAAAGTGGAGTTATTATTTATTACAGTATTTATATTTAGAGCTTTAGCCCCATGCAGTGCTGGACCCCAGGGACTCAGGCAGGGTGGCCTCCTGGCCCAGTCCCTGAGCCCAGCTGCGATTGCGTTAGCGGTGGGGGAGGGGTGGCAGAGCTACAGACAACTGATCTTGGATGTCAGGAAGACTAAGACAGAGGCGAGCTACCACGGCGTCAGCGCCAGACGGGACTGAACTGAAGGAAGGAAGGTGAGAAAGCCGCAATAAGTGTCGTGTAATGCTGAATGTTTTAATAATAAATTTCCGGGTAGAAGAATAGCAAGGAAAGGAATAAGGCTATTTGAAGCAGCTGCAGCAATGTGCACTGGTGGCGTGGTTAAATAAATATTTGATGCGTTCATGAAAATTGCATACAATTACTCATTATTAGAGGATAAGGTAGGAGTGGTACAAAGTAGGTCTAGACAATAGGCATTACTGGGATTCAATCTAGGTCTGCCACATGCACTGAGGGGTCCCGCTACTTGAGCCATCACCCGTTACCTGCCAGCATCCTCATGAACAGGCAACAGCTGGCCTCAGGAGCCAGAGGGTTCACTCAGGTGTCCTAACCCCTGGGACACTGCTTTTCTGTAAACTTATATACTTTTTTGAGACCCTTAATTATTTCAGCAAATATTTACTGAGTCACCATTGATCCCCAGGTTCTTTGTTCTATAGAAAAAAGGGTATGCTGGGAAGTTTTCCTTACAGAAATTTTGTTTGTCGGTTTTTAATTTCTAGTAACTTTTAGGCTTGTCTAAAATAAGAAGGAGTCTTCCATAAATCCATAATGAATACTGTCCACTAATTTATGAGTCATTAATATATTCTTTCTTTCATTCATTCATTCTATAAATATTTTCTTGAATGGCTGCTGGTAAGCAGTTATCTTGAAAGACCCTGGAAATAAAAGAAGGAAGAAAAAAGATTCCATTGTAGCCTATCATTTTGCCATACCAGTTAAAGCTGCTCCACTTCCGATCTAGCTCCCTACTAATGGCCTGGGGAAAGCAGCGGATGAGGGCCCCAGTATGTGGGCCCCATCACCCACATGGGAGACCCGGATGAAGCTCTTGGCTCCTGACTTTGACCTGATGTAGTCCTGATCTTTGTGGCCACCTAGGAAGTAAACCAGTGAATGTAGGAGCTCTCTGTCTCTCCTTTCTGTAGCTCTGGCTTTCAAATAAATAAATAGATCTTTGAAAAGATATCCCCAAAGCTGCTGACAATTTAGGTGGTGACATACTAATATCTTTGATGTAGTAGAGAGTATAAAGCACAACAGGAAGCACAGGACAGAGTAAGTGTTTTATTTCAAGGTTTATTTATTTTCTTCGGAAAGGCAGATTTACAGAGTGAAGGAGAGACAAAGAGAAAGATCTTCAATCCGGGTTCACTCTCCCAGGTGCCACAGTGGCTGGAGTGGAGCCAATCCAAAGCCAGGAGCCAGCAGCATTTTCCAGGCAGAGTTCAAAGGCTCTCCCAGGCCACAAGCAGAGAGCTGGATGGAAAATGGAGCAGCTGAGGCACAAACCAGTGCCCAGATGGGATCCTGAACATGCAAGGCAAGGATTTAGCCACTGGGCCATTGTGCTAGGTCCAGGACAGAGTAATTTAAATTGGGACTTGGAAAATGAGTTCACACTAGGCCAGCTAGTCTGGTACTAATGTGATGAAAATATTTTTAAGCCAAGAAAATGTTATCATCAAAGATCGAGAGACTTGAAAGAACCGATCTTAACGAGAAATAAGAGTGCATCTACATTACTGGAATATGAAGAATGGTTGTGGTGACAAAAGTGCAGTTTCAGTTGCTGAAGGACTTCTCGGCCATGCCACAGACTTCAGAACGTTTCCATCTGCCTCTCGGGAGGTCAGTGGACAGTAAGGAAAATTAAGGTTTTGAGAGCCAACGTGGCATCACTGTTTACCAACACTGTAAATGGTAAATGATTTAACACCTGTAAATCTCATTTCCTCTTGGAGAAAAGTACAAAACATCTCACAGACTTTTATTAGGTTTAACTAAGATACTGCATGACAAAACGCCAGCTACAAGGCCTAGAAACTAATAGATATTCAGAGAATGGTCATTTTTATTATCACGGCTCATAATTTGAATTTCTTCAACCTTGTAAGTAAGGAGGCAGGTGTTCTATCCTGTATGCAATCACCTCTGTGCCTCAGGTCATAGGCAGGTAAGCTCTAAGCCATGCCACCAGGTACCTGCGTATGACCTGAGGCACAGCTTCCAGGCCTACACGAGCAGCATGACCTCCAACATGACTAAAAGGTCAAGGAGAATACACATGGAACATGACCTCTGACATGACCGGAATCAAGGGAAATAGACACGTCTTCTAGCCAATTACATTGTCTTTGGTGAGTGGGGAAACTGCTAGAGAATGCCCTCCTGTCCTCCCCTTCCTTAACCTATATAATCCTGGAATTT